TGTGGTGGCACTATATAGGATAGCACTGGACTGCTAAGTACAACTCTGCAGGAGGAAGATGAGACTTTCTGCTCCTCTCAAGATTTACAGGCCTGGAAGCCCTAGACAGGGTCACTGTAAAGTCGGAACCGACCTGACGGCACACAGCACAAGAGCAGGCTAAAGAAAGCAGTGAGCACGCACGCAAACTTGGTTGGCTGCGTGAAGAAACCAGGTCAGAAAGAGTTCCTTCTCCAGGCTTGCTGCCATCCAGACTGTCAGTACAAGAACCACTATGTTCACCAAGCTCCCTTACCAAATGCCAAAGCCTCAAAGTGTCACTGCTCAGGAGACAAGAGCCGTTGTCACCAGCCGTTGTCACCTCTGCCTCCCCCATTCAGCTCTGGGAACATAACTCTTGAGACACACAGTGTCCTTGAAAGACAGGTACCCCCTATATTAGCCTTTACATCCCACGATGCCTTGTAAAATTAGCCCATGCACTGTTACCAAAACACATGCTTCTTTCCAATGTAAACATCATGTGAACTGTCACATAACCTTTAAGAAAAATGAGAATTCAGAGGGAAAATGTTACTAAACAAAAGTAAATTAAGTTAGGCATTTTCACGTCAACAGAGAGAAATGTGTGTGGATAGTAGAAATGCAACAAAAACCTAGAACTTAGGATCAAAGATTTCTGAAAAGAATGTTTGCACAGCAAAATTCTTTTTTCCTTTGAGAATAAAATGCCCCACCATGCTTAATTTTCCTGACATTTCTGAGGTTTCGAAGCCGCAGCTAACGGATCTGAATCATCTGAGCAAAACCATGTTATAGTGACATGTTACTGGAAAGCTCAGAATAGAACCCTAAATATACACACACACCCAGGGCAGGCACTCTTGTAGGAAACATGGCAGAGTAGAGAGCAGTCCACCTTCCACAGGTAAGTAATGGGGTGCTTGGAAGTCAAATTAAGAAAAAAACAAAAGTGACTTCTGGTTTGGACACACACTTAGTCAAAGGAAACACTTTACCCCCGGTTGCAACCAGGCCAAGAAACAAGGACCTTCTCCTGAACTCTAACTCACACCCAGATCAGCTACACTCATCAGACAACCGGCTCTGCCCTAAAGGATTCATCTCAGGCAGGCGGAGGGAAAGGGGCTCCCATTCCCATGGGCACCCTGTCCTCTACCCTCCACAAGCCTGCCTTGTAGAGGAGCTTCATTTGCGTTGGTTGTTTAAGTACCAACAACGGGGCGGCACCAAACACTGAACTAGGTCAGCCTCAGGCTGCCTCTGAGGAGCTCCAGCGCACCCAGGCCTCACCTCCATGTCCAGAGACAGGTCTGAGAGCCCTCTGGCCAGCACACTGAGCTTTCCTGGGTGGGAGCTGGGACTTGGAGGGAGGGGCTCTGGAAAGTAAAGGCCTTAGGCTATTAGCATCCCATCATACTGATTGGCATCCTTTTCTTTAATAAACAAGAGTCCTCCTCCCAGCTCTCAACATCCCCTTGTAGGAGTACTAACAAGACCCTAAGTTACAGGCAGACAGGGGTTCACACAGGGCAGATGACAGTCGGGGAAACAGACACCTGGGCTCGTTCAAACAGTGAGGGCCACCAGGATCACGGGCAAGAGTGGGGTCCAGTCCCAGTGCCAGGAATACGAAGCTGAGTTCAAGGACCCTGGGTCCGAATTTGGCGTCAAAGCTTTGTGTTTGGAATCAGAATTTGGTGTCTGGGGTCCAGGCCAAGAGCTCAGAATGTGAATTCAGTGTTTTAGGATTTTGAGACCAGAATTCAGAAGTAGGGTCCTAAGTTCGGGATTCTGGAGCACTTTTTTCTGGGGATCAGAGTTTGAAGGATGAGGTTCATGTCCCAAGGTTGGGGCCAAGAGGCTCGTGTTCCGGGGTCAAGACTGGGGTTCGAAACACCAGAGTTCCGGACCCCAGATTTCCAGCGGACCAAGATTCTGGGCTCCAAGTCCCTGAGTCTGAGGGGCTGGGATCCCGGGGCACCAGAGTCCAAAGCCGGGGTCTGAGGTTCCTGTGCTCAGGGTCCAGGTCCTGGGGCACCAGGGTACAGGGCTCTGGGTCCCAGGGCTCAGGGTCTGGGTCTCAAAGGCACCTGGATTCCAGGGCCCAGGGTACGGGTCCCCGGGCACCTGGGTCCCGGGGTACAGAGTCCCGGTCCTGGGTTATGAGGGGCCGGGGTTCCGGGACTCCGGGGTTCCGGGAGTCAGGTCCGGGCCCGACGGTGGCGGCACTTACGTCGTCGAAGAGCGAACCCACGTTAGCCGTGACCAGCAGGACCGCGGTGCCCGGGGCGGCCGACCTCCCCGCCATCCTGCGGCGCTGTCGGCAGCACCGCTCCCTCCGCGG